GCTAATTTAAATCAGTTAAATATAATCGCAAATAGTGTTAATGATTGCTCTAAATATCTTATTAATGAAATACAGGTAAATTTACTCAACAAGAACTTCATCGAAAGTAACATTGTAAAACACACTATAAACACTAATTGTCACGATATTCAACATAATGTACGTTTGCAACTAAAAGATTTAACATTTCTCGATACGTACTTCAAAATAATATTTTTAGAATTAATTGCACTTTACTTCAATCAAATTGTACGGATAATCAAGTTGCAGCGAAAATTGTAATCTATACTAACGTACATTTTTCTTGCATATACGGATTTGTTTATGACTCTTTGAATACTCTCCAAATAAATGAAAGATTTTTGTCTATAACGTTCAACCATGTACTTTTAAGAAAAATTGTTGCAAATAAACATATTTTTGTATTCCATTTCTTGCATTCGTTTCCTTCCGCTTTTCGCATGTTCCTGCACGCTCCACTCGCCATCGTCAATTCTTAAGGCGTAATCACACTATAGGTTGCGAACTCGGTTACGGTTATGGTTACTGTTAAGCATTGAAAATCAACCAATCAGTGAGAAGCAGTTTGCCGGTTAGGTTACAGGTTATAATTTAGAGCCGAGTCTATTTTTCAATCTTAACGTTGCAATCGTAGCCAATAAGATAACCTAATCTAAACTAATGTACTGTTTTCGTGACAACTTAGTGAATGTAATTTTGTAAAAATGCCACCAAAAAAGGACATATGGTCAAGTGAAGCCGAGCACTTATTAATAGATCTAATAAAAGCAAGACCGATTTTATGGGATATAACGCAAAATAATTACCGGAGAAACGATTTAAAAGAATTGCAATGGGAAGAAATTAGTAAAAGGATGGGTACACATTATACAAGTAAGTAAACGCAGTTTTTTAACTGTTGTCCAGACACAGCTTGAAACTTTATTTTATACTGTACATACAAAACACTTCAGATAAAAATGCATCATTGGCATGAATTTTCACTCGCAATTGATTTGTCCCTAAAAAT